CCACAGCCGCTGGAACACCATTCATCGTGTCAGAAATTCCTCTAACCACCGATGGACCATGGCTCGATCCTCCAGGTACATGATTTTGCGCTCTGTGGGCCACAGGTTGGCCATGACTTGTTCCTCCTAGTACTTGATTTTGTGCACCATTTTGAGCAACTTCAAGGTAAATTGAGGTGAGTCTTGATGGTTTTGACCATTCCCAACATCACCATGAAGTTGTTGATGCTTGTTAGAGCTGACTTGACCTCCATTTGTGGCCGGTGGTACGAAATTTGAACCCATCACCAAAATGGTGTAGGTGAGATTTTGAAGGGTCGTGAGAATCTCTTGCTGAGTGTGTTATAGTTCTTGAATGGCTTCAAGAATGAGAGGTGAGTCTTGAACTTGAGTTCTGTCATCACCACCATTAGAGGATCCTTGTTGGTGAACTTCTTCTTCTCTTGCCATCTTCACCAGAGTTGCGTGAGTTCTGAATCTCGTTGAGACCATTAACCAATCTGCCTCCCCAACAGAGTCGCCAAATGTATGAGAGGGCTCAAGAACATCGTTGGAAAATTTGAAGATCTTCAAAGATCTTTGAAAAAAAATTCAATTTTTTTTAGAAATAATGAGAGACTTAGATTCTTCAACAGTCATAACTAAGAACACAAAAGTAAAGAAATGATAGAGATAAGAGATTGGTTGAATAAGAAGACAAGGTAATTAGAGGGAAAATAATGGCACGGCTCTCCCATGGATCTCCCACTTTCACTCTCAAGGTTGATAATGGAGAGGGGAAATTTATTCTTTCCCAAGAGTTATCTCTCCAAAATCCATCCCTTGTAAAGCTATGAGTGGGTGCTATATATAAGCACCTCATAATGTGGGATGGAGCCCATGTTGCACATGGGAAATATTCTCTCTAACTACCTTTTCCAAGGAGGTGACCTCTCCGAGGATGAGGAAAACCCTTGAAGAGGAGATCAACCTCTCGGTGAACCCTTCTTCTTAGCCACACATAACTAATAATCCCCAATCATCCCAAAGGGCCAGGGGTAGTCCCAGTGGACGCCCTGCCGTAGAAGGGTCAAGGGTAGTTCAAGAGAACGGCATATCGCAAATATTGCCGAGTCTCAAGGACCCCCTAGATCGTACCACATCGACCCGGGTATAGGCTAGTTTAATCGAAGGGTAAATTTATCTCCACTTACCGTCCTCGGGATTGGGTCCTTTGTTTGGATTCCATTACACCCATGATTCTGGTACGTAGATCCCAGAAAGCTCCGAGTCCGCAAATGTTCTAAAACTCATTAATGGAGCGGTTTCTAGATTGCGTCCGAATCCGTTCGAAGCCAAGCACTTTGGATCTCTATGTTCGTGGATCCGAACCCTTTTGAGTCCGAGCTCAAATAGGTCTCTAGGTTCGTGGTTCCGAACCCTTTCAAGACTAAGCAAATACCTCGGAGAATGGATCTTCTCCGAGGGTTTTATCTCTTCTGAAAGCAACATTTAACCTCCTCGGATGCCCGTATAATTTGGGCCTCCTCGAATGAGCTTGTTGGACTCTCTTTAGAGATATCTACTTGATGGGTCTTTCTCGACCCAATTTGTTGGCTTTCTTGTGGGCCCGTTCAATGGATTTCACTTGGGCTTATTTGGCAATAATTTCTCCAAACCCATTAATTTTGGATTTTTTGATTGGTCCCCAATTGAATTCAATTAATTTAATGGGCTCAAGTTAACCCCTCTTACAAGCTTATATATCATTTTTCATGCATATAAGAGGCTCTTTCCTATATGCACTCACATTATTATACAATTTCATTGTATTGAGGATAAAATAAAGTGAAAATTATATTTCAATAAAGACAGTGAAATTTTTTTTGATAGTACAAATTTTTTGGCTGCGTCACACTTGTACAAAAATATATTTCACTTGTTTTAAATTAATGTTACTGTTCAGATTTATCAATCATAAAAATTGTGAAAAAATGAGTCTGTGGTGTAAATGAGAGTTGTTGTGCTATGGGCCACTCCTAAAATAAATTCCATCCACATAATTTAAATTCTTGATAAATTTCAAAATTTATAATATTATTATTTTAAAAACTATTACATACATTCGTAATTTTTTCTAAAAGAAAATCATTTTGGCAGAGGTTGGTATGTAATGTATGTAGAAATAGTAAACACAAAAGCTATTGCTGAGCTTTGAAACTGGCATGCAAGTTGCTCATCTGACCTGCTGTGTTTAATACAGGGGCTGCTCTTAAATACAAAATCTATTACTCAACTTTTGTCTTATTTCAAGTATTCGAAAGTTTCTTAGAAGGAAAAAATATATTTATTTATTGTATTATTTTAATCTTTATAATTTTAATCATATTAATTTTGATTTTAATTTTTATCTTGTGTCAATATAATTCAACTGATCAAAAAGTTAAACAGAAAATCAAAACAAAATAGAAACCACATCTGCTTTTTTACAATGCAACAATGTTCAAATCCACTGTCGATTTCATACCAAAGGACATCTTTTATTTGATTTGATGTGGAAGATTGTAAAACATGAACTTGATTTGACATTGTTTGGAAGCCTGCACTTTTTTTTTGTTTGATCACATGACGGAATGAGACTTGACTTCGTATTTTGGGCCTAGAGAAACAGCCCATTTTTAGGCTTCATCAATTCGGTAGCTCTGGGCTTTGCCGAATACAAAGTACACTACATTAAAGGTATTCAAATTTTAAGGAGTATTTGTATTTTACAACATCCTAAACTCTAATTCCTAAATTATCAGATAGATCCAGAATACCCTGTGTTGTGTCCTTGTCCATGATGATTTATCTATTATTGATCTTGTTTTTTGAACTATATAACCTTATTATTCAGCGAGTACATAATCAACAAATGTTTATGAAAAATTTAAGAATTACTTTATATATGAAGCTGAGTTATTTGAAGTAAAGTGATATTTTTTGTTTTTTTATTTTTTTGTTTTTTATTTTTATTTTTTTGAGAGGGGGAGGGGGTGGTTGCGGTGTTTAAAAGGTACTAAATTTCCAAAGTTGCTTTCATCATGCCCTCGTTGAAGACTTAGAAATTCTAAATTAGAATTTTTGAAAAAACTCACAAATTTGGAATTGCAATTGACCAGGCACTAGTGACTTTTAGCCCGCTTCCTAATTTCTGAACATCAGGTGACACTGTTGTCTAACAGTATGATTTTGATTTTTCACCATTTTATTTGAATGAACAAAACAAGAAAAAGGATTCATTCATTCAAGTATTTCTTAAACAAGAAAAAGGATTCATTCATTCAAGTATTTCTTAAACAAGAAAAACCATTTTATTTTATTCCTGTAAATCCGCAAAACTTACTGAACTTTGTTGACGTATCACACAATAAATCTCAGCATTCATTCATTCAAGTATTTCTTAAATTGTACCGAGTCATGAACATGGCCCAATGGCCCATGGATTGTTGAATCTGTTTAATTTATCCCAGATTAAATAAAATTGCCAAACTGTTGCCAATACTTGAATTCTTTTACTTTGGTTAATATCATCATGTTGCATGATCATTTATTATTATTGTCCCAAATTTCTTTTTTTCATTTTAATGACAAAAGAGTATGGTAGGCATTGGATCATGTCATTGCGGAAGCCAGGCAACACAGAGTTCGGCTGCTACTTAGCTTAGTTAATAACTTGCAGGCATATGGTGGGAAGACTCAATATGTCAAGTGGGCATGGGAAGAAGGTATAGGTTTGAACTCTTTGAATGATTTATTCTTCTTTGATCCATCAATTCGGCATTATTTCAAGAATCATGTCAAGGTAATATTGTGTCTATCTCTTCAGTTTGTTTGGAATCCTCTTTCCCCCTCTTCTTCAATAAGAAGCTTTTGGATGTTACTTTTGAGTTCTCATGATTTTATCTTGATCAATAGCTCCTAAAACTGTTTTTATAGCACTTCAATGAGAATGCTTTTGGATGTTGCTTTTGACTTCTCATGATTTTATCTTGACCAATAGCTCCTAAAACTGTTTTTATAGCACTTCAATGAGAATTTTGAGTCTCTTTTTAAAAATTGAAGGAAACAATAATTTGTTTTTCATGCATCAAAAAGTCGACAATTATGGAAGTGTTAAATGTCTTTTCTCATTTAGACACTCTAATTCATGGTCCAAATTCTCATAACAACAACAGACAAACCTGTGTGAGTGCAAAGAAGATCCTAGAGTAGCAGGTGGTTGCACATATTTGGGGTTTTACCTTAGGTCTCATCGAAGATTGGTGTCGGGGTTCCTCGTCATCAAAAAAGAATTTCCAAGAGATTAAAGAAGATAAAAGGAAAATTTAGGGATGTTAATACTGCACCTGATTTTGAACTTTCCTAAATCAGATCACTCCATTCCTATCTGGCTTTCAGAATTTGGACAGCTTAGCTACTTGACTTGTTTCAGAAAATACTCACACTCAACACATTGACATAAACAGTTTTCTATGCCTACGTAGTTTTTGAGTGCTTAAGTAGGGAGTTTTTCTCCATTTTTTGAAGCCTAAGAAAAACATGTAGGCTAATTTAAATGCTTTCAAGACATTATGTAGCAACATATCAGATAATAACTGAACATTCTTGCAGGCTTGCCGCAATTCAAGGTGTACTGCCTTCTCAAAAGGATCACTTGAAAGAATTGTGTTTGCGGAGACGGTAAAAATCTAATTTATCCTACCAAAAACGTAACTTCTCATGTGGAAATAGGGCCTATTTGGTAATGTCTTTTGTTTTTCTGTTTTTTGTTTTAAAAAATTTTGAAAAATGGAAACAAAAACAAGTTGGTTAATCTTAAAGGTGGCATACCGCAACTTCCCATTTGGGCTTTTCTTGTCAGCCGGGTACAAGAAGATTCCTCCATAAAGCAGAGTACGGTGAACATCTGCTATTGTTAGTAGCAGATCTGTTACTAAATGTGTATTTTACATCTGACTGTCCGCTCTTGAGTGTGGAAGTTTTCTGAGCTAGAATTTAGTTGTTAATTCCCCAATGGTTGTGGGTTGTGCAGGACACCCACTGTCAATCTTGGATGGGATTTTCATGGCTATCAAGGATGATATAGACTGCTATCCTCATCCATCAAAGGGTAAAATATAATTGAATTTTCATTTGCATGAAGTTTTCTTACTCAATTTACAAATGTAGCTCAGTATTCTATGACAAACAGGTGCAACGACGTGGTTTCATGAGGTGCGCCCTATTAAAAAAGATGCAGTTTCTGTATCAAGGTTACGTAGCTGTGGTGTTATTTTTGTTGGAAAGGCAAATATGCATGAAATGGGTCTAGGAACAACAGGAAATAATGCAAACTATGGGTAAGATTCCATGTAGTAGCTATGTAAACAAAGAGATAAATATGATTTCAGTGTTCGACATGCATGCATGACAAGGTGACTGCAGAGATTGTTGAATGGAGAAATAAGACTGTTATATTCAGCGTATTACCTGCTGGTAGCGCGTTAGCTTTACAAAGGCTACTTAATTTATAACGTATCTTGCATCTTAGAATTATATTTGATTTATTTATCTGCTTAAAATTGCTTTATACCCCGATGTTTAAGTCTTTGCAATGTTCTTAGAATTATTTAAATGGACCCCACATAACAATGGTGCTTCATATACTGAACATGTTAGATTTTTAGTTTGGAGAAATATCTCAGCATATTGCCTTTTGTTTGCACGTTATTCTTGGAAAACTTATATTATCAAATGTCTTGCGTCCAATTATTATTTATATGATTTACTGGTTATCCACTTTTGCATATATGCTAACCTCATGAGCCACTCCTCTTTTTCATTTAATTCCTTTCTTTTGCCAACTATATCATAAATTTTTCGTGTATATATATACTAGAAGCCTTGTGCACACTAACGTGTGTAATTGAAATTGCCCTGGAAGGTCATGGGTGAAAGTGGAGAGAGTAGTGCGCAACTGAATACAACAGTGTTAGGAATGCTAAATATTTGGAGAACATTTAGTATTATTGTGTTTTCATGTTACATTTTCTTGCATTTCTGTGTTTTCATTGCAATTTTATCTATCTATGACTACGATAGATCACATCTGTTTCATTTTTCAGGGTGATTACATTTTCTTGCATTTTTGTGTTTTCATTGCAATTTTATCTATCTATGACTACGATAGATCACATCCGTTTCCCATGTCCATGTTTATGCTTCATGGTGTAAAACATAACCGACTTTTAAGAATTATATGGCCTCTTTGTACAAGGTGACGTGTTGGCTACCCACACAAGTGAAACACTGCTTCACTTGTAAAGCCGTGTATGACACAATGTGAGGAAGTGTCCATAATTCAAATATAAATTTCATGTTTGGGACGCTTGACATACATCTAGCACAATCCTCAACAAATGACCTGTGTAACGTAAATGCATCTTGGTTGGAACCATGTTCAACACTCGCAGGAACAAGATGAGCATGACTTGAAGTGCCACTTTTTTTTCCCCCAAGAGAATTTTACATTATACACGTGGCCACTATAAGTTGAGTGTGCAATAGACGCTTTTTAATATAGGTACAAATTGTAAAGACAAATTATAGTAAGAGAGGAGTATACATAACATGATAGCCCAAGGCATTTGTCAAGCTTGATCTGCATAATTTATTGAGGTTACATACGTGTTTCCTGATAGTCTGTTAGATGTAATATACTTGCATGAATATATTTTTGACATAATCGAAATATGTGCCATCACTTTTTCTGCTGCAATACCTGAGATGGTAACACGGTCATGTTAACTTTAATTACTTTGGCTGCAGAATATGTACGCTCAGTTGCTACCTCTTGCTTTGCCTGCACCACCAGTGCCTGGAATCGGAGGACCTGGGATGGGTGGAGGTTTTGCTCCTCCACCACCAATGGGTGGAATGGGTATGCCTCCAATGGTAACTCCTTATGGCATGCCATCAATGGGCTCGTATTGATTGTGTGCTTATGAGAAATGGTAGTATCGCCTAGTTGACGTCAAAAAGCTCTGGAATCTCCTGTTTGTGTTGCTGGCTTTGGGAGGAAACTTGACGCTCCAGTGCAATGCTCTGTCTCTCATCTCGTGCATGTTTGTAGGCCCAAAGATATTTCTCTCAATGTTCCTTTGTTAACTGAAGCATCATCTTTCTTTGCTTTGGATACTGATCCGTGTAGGACTGATCTTCAGGTGACTGGTGGATGTAGTTGATGGAAAATTGGCTTTTGTGGGGTTTTTTTTTTTCTTTCTATTGTTGTCGCTAGATTGCCATGTGTACAGGACTCACTTTGTAATTTACATTGTATTTAGCTTCATTACTGAACTTTCAGGTTTCCCAATGTCTTCAGAATTTTATACTTCACATCTGTTTCATTAGTGGGGCGTTATAATCTGAATTTTACAAGACAAGATATATCTTCTCTCTGGTTTTTGTGCAAACAGGTGATTGTTTCTTTCCTTTCCTTTCTTCTCTTTCATTTTCTTTCTCACAGTCTATCTGATTGCAATTCCTTTGTAATTGTTCATTCAAATTTTCAATTTGGCAGGAAGCATCCTTATTGAATATAACTGATCAAGTGTGTGCTCTGTTCACTCCATCTGAGGTATGTAGCTTTGGTACGTACATATCATGGGATCCATTGTGTTCCTATAGATGTTATCCACTAATAAGTGCAAATTATGTATGTTATCAGTTCATGCTTTGTTTCTTGCTCATTATTATTTTTTGCTTAAAATGCTTTGCAAGATAAACTCTTTGAGAGCAGAATTTTATTGTTGATTTACCATGATTGAACCTCCTAGTTTTACCATTAGTATAAGTTCATCCTCTCTCTCTCTCTCTCTCTCTCTCTCTCTCTCTCTGCAGGTTGGCTGTACAAAAGGTGATGATGCTGGTCTTTCAAATGAGCACATGATTATGGCAGAGATTCCATGTCTCATAAGTTTATTAATTCTTTGAATCTTATTATTGTCATATTATTTTCCACTGTGTTTATGGTTATTTGCTATTAATGCTATGGCATGTATTTCAAAACTAGGAGTTAATTCCCACGTTGTGACATTTATTTCAAAACTTATCTAAAATTAATTGTGTTATAAACTTTAATTGAAGTCTTCATGGCTAATGCTGAGGGAAAAAAATAAAGGTATCTTCTGTTTGGCTCATAATTTATACCTTCTGTTACTGTAGAAGAACATGCTCCTGGCTGTTATGAAAAGGCAAGACTGCAGTTTGCTCATGCAGAAACTATGCTTCCATTCTCATGTCTGATTGGGCTCTTTCTTGAAGAATCCGGTGAGTGCTTTCATTCTCATATTTCTAAGAAGCGTAGACATGACACGGACATGATAACACGTAAATTTTCAAAAACTGTAGGACACGATACGTGGGTGACACGTACAAAATATATAATTTTATATATTTATTATGTCATATATAAGGATAATTATATATCATATATATGAATATTTCAACCAAAGATAATAATTTTAACAGTCTAAAGAAGGAGAATATGTATATTTTGAACCGTAGTTTATTATATATAAATATATTGTGTTGTTTAGCCGGATCTGGAATGAGACTTGGTTGGCAAGCCTTTTCTACAAACCTTGCAACTATGAGTTATTTGTCAAGCAATCCCCAACAAACCATTCTCCCCTGTTGGCAACCAATTCCCCAACAATTTCTCAGGAAACAAACACCCCTTGGAAAAATTAAACCTGAAAGGCATTGGTCTTTCATAGTACTTGTGACAAATATCTAACTGCCAATCTAGTGCATTTTTCACTATTTAAATTATAATCACTTGTACCCCTCGCGAATAATTCTAGAACAACATCTATGTTTTGACTCTATTTTGCTTCGTAGGCTGCATGTGTCAGGGTATTAGTTGAACCAAAGAAGGCAATTCGAAAGCTCCCTAGAGTCCAACATCTCTATGCCCCGATTAACGGGGAGGTTGAGAAGTGAAGATGATGAGGTAAAGTTCAACATGTCAAGTAAGTAAGTTTAGCTTTTATTTTAATAAATAAGATTTCCAGTTCAGAATTTATCTGTACCGTCTTCTGTATCGGAAACCTGTTACGTAACCATCTAAAATTGTCTTCCTGAACCAATATATTGTGAACATTCATGTTGTTTTATATGTGGGTGTGTATATATATAATTATTTGACTTTAGATTTTGAATGTTTCATATAAGATAATAAACAAATATATGATACTATACTAATAAAATAATGGTCAATTTTGCAAATTTTAACAATTCTGCATAAAAGAAAAGAGTAACAATAAATAGTGGATGTGGTGCAACTATATTGTGAAGAAAACGTGATCTTCCTATTCCTTTTTCTTTCTCAGATCTGTATTTGACCGTGCTTTTGCTTGTCATATGCTATCCGGTGGGCCAAAAACAGGGGTTCATTCATTTCTTCCCATAATCAGTTCAATGCTTTGAAATGTATTACTTACATTGGTTGGTCCCACACTCAAGAAAATATAGGCAATACTGATTTAAAAAAACCTAATCCATCCATCTTAACATAGTCTAGTGTCATTTTTCAAAATTTTTATTTCATTATTTGTGTTTTTATAAACAAAAGCAATGAAAAGTTTATAAACACCATAGTTTTCTACTAGAATTTTTATAGGTACATGGCATGCTATATATGCACCATTGCTGCTTACAATATTAGGTTGATAAAGTTGGTTATGGGTGTTTCACATTTCACAATGTTAAGTATATAGTTTATATCAAAGTCAACCTGTTTTTGGATAAAGTTGGTTATGGGTGTTTCACATTTCACAATGTTAAGTATATAGTTTATATCAAAGTCAACCTGTTTTTGGATAAAGTTGGTTATGGGTGTTTCACATTTCACAATGTTAAGTATATAGTTTATATCAAAGTCAACCTGTTTTTGGATAAAGTTGGTTATGGGTGTTTCACATTTCACAATGTTAAGTATATAGTTTATATCAAAGTCAACCTGTTTTTGGATAAAGTTGGTTATGGGTGTTTCACAATTTTTATTTCACATTTCGTTTTTTTGTCATTTATTTTTGCAACCAATCTAAATGTGACTGAATGATCACATATGTTCTTTGGCAGGATGTCAGTGCTTCCCTTTCCAAAAAGTACCCCCAGTTGTACAAGGAGGGAATAAGAAATACCTTCTTCAAATGGAGAGTTATGGTGACCTTGGCTTTGTTTTCATTTACCAATCATTAGTCATATACAATTTTGTGATCACTTCCAGTTCTAACAGTGTTGATTCGAATGGCAAGATGTTTGGCCTTTGGGATGTCAGCACAATGATCTTCAATTGTCTTGTAATAACTGTTAATTTGTGGCTTCTTCTGATGTGCAACACGATTACAAGGTGGCATCAAATAACTGTTGGAGGAAGCATTGTAACATGGTTTATATTATGTGGATAAAATGGAATTTAAACAATTTGGGTTAATGAGCTGGGTGTTATTTATATTTGGAATGATCTATATTTTTTTAGTTCAATCAAATAAAATTGGCCTAATTTCAAAAAAAAAAAAAAAAAAAAAAAGAGAGGATATGACGGCGTTTTTACAAACGCCTCTTAAACCCTACATACTAATGGTCAAATTTATGCAAGAAGATATGACGGCGTTTTTCCAAAAACGTCGCTAAATGTCGCCAGTGACGACAGCATGAGTTTAGTAGGACATTTCACGGCGTTTTTAAAAACGCCGCCTATATTAATATCATGACGTTTTTAAAACGTCAAAAAGTTATAGCGACGGCCGCGTCCTCGGCGTTCGGAGCTAAGCGTCACAAAAAGAATTGGCGGCGTTTTTGACACTTACAGCGGCGTTTTTTAAACGCCACTAAAAGTTAAAATTCCTGCAGTGACTCCCTCCTTCCCCTCCAATGTACCTAAAACAAAGAATGATTTTCTCTTTAATTTCAAATGTTCAGTTAAGCATAAATCCCATGTTTCTTTACAGTGGGTATCTTCTATAATATAGACAAAAACAATTAACTTCAAAAGTTGCTACTACACAATGACATACGTAAATGTTTTTGTTTCAGCCTGGAATGAGATCCATCTAATATGATTCCCGCAAGAATCACATAAACCTAAGACTGTTGTCTCTCTTGTCTGTAGAAATTGAAGTTTCAACATATGTAACATGCTCCTTAATTTGTTCATTCTACAACTATATGTATTGTACTGTAAATTCCTCTTGATTTATCATTTTCTTAGTCTCTATTTATAGCCTTTGTTGATTGCTAATGTATTTACTGATTTCCAGCTTTGGAAGTGGATATATATTAGGAATGGCAATGGGGGGCAATGGGGTGGATATTAATTCTCCATCCCCATTCCCCTATAATAAATTTTCTCCATTTCCCATTCCCCATTCCCCATGGGTACCACCCTCCCCATTTTTTAATGGGCATGGATTTTCCCCAACCCACTTTAATCCCCCTTTTTTTATTTTTTATATTTAATGTTAACAACCACTTTTTTTCTTTTTTCTTTTTTTTTATTTTTATTTTTTTTTAAGATTCACAACAAAAACTAAATATACCTTCAATCTTTTTTTTTTTTTTTAATATATTTAATGTTAACAATTTATTATTTTTTATTTATTTATTTTTTTTTAAGGTTCACAACAAAAGTTAAATTACCTTCAATCTTTTTTCTTTCTTTTTTAATATATTTAATGTTAACAAATTTTTTTTTCTTTTTTTTTTAAGGTTCACAACAATGATCTGTTTGATCAGTTGAAGGGGTCTTGTTGCTTCTCTAAGATAGACGTGAGATTGGGTTATCACCAGTTGAGGATAACGGAGGAGGATATCTCGAAGACAGCATTCTGTATGCGGTATGGCCATTATGAGTTTCTAGTAATGCCTTTTGAGTTGACCAATGCACCGGCAGTGTTTATGGATTTGATGAACCGAATTTTACACGAGTTCCTAGATTGTTTTGTGGTCGTCTTTGTGGACGACATATTGATTTACTCACCCTCCGAAGAGGAACACGAGGAACACTTGCAAGTGGTACTTAAATTGCTTAGAACCCCCCAGTTGTATGCTAAATTTGGAAAGTGTGAGTTCTGGCTAAAAGAGGTTAAGTTCTTAGGCTATGTGGTATCCGGGGAAGGGGTGATTATAGATTCATCTAAGATAGAGGCAGTACAAGATTGGACACAATCTAAGAATGTTTTTGAAATTCATAGTTTCTTGGGGTTGGCCGGGTCTTACCGTCAATTTGTGAAGGATTTCTCTAAACTAGCCTCACCTTTGACTAGGTTGACGAAGAAAGGAATTAAGTTTGTGTGGAATAAGACTTGTGAGAAGTCGTTCCAAGAGCTTAAGGTTAGACTTACCACTGCTCCAGTCTTGATTATTTCGGAGAGGGGTTTGGGTTATTTAGTTTATTGTGATGCTTCACGGGAAGGTTTGGGCTACGTTTTGATGCAAGAGGGGAAGGTAGTAGCCTATGGCTCACGGCAGTTGAAAACACATGAGAAGAACTACTCTACTCATGATCTAGAGTTAGCAGTGGTGATTTTTACCTTGAAGATTTGGAGACACTACCTATACGGTGAGAAATTTGAGGTGTTTTCTGATCACAAGAGTCTAAAATATCTGTTTACACAGAAATACTTGAATTTGAGGCAGAGGAGATGGATGGAGTTCATAGAAGATTACGATTTTGAGTTGCATTATCATTAAAGGAAGGAAAATGTTGTAGCCGATGCCTTGAGTAGAAAATCTATTAGCAGTGTGGTTTGTATTGCCATCTGGGAGTGGGAGATGTTGGGTGCTCTTGGAGAGTTTGACTTGCATCTTAGCGAGTCCATTGAATCTGCAACTTTGTTTATAGTAGTTGCCCAACCTTGCCCAACCTACACTTGTAAATTGATTGTTAGAAGCGCAGAAGGGTGACCTTGAAGTAGAAACCCTCCGGGAGAAGATCTCCAGTGGAAAAGTAAAAAGAGGCTCGAGCATGTATCCTAACCTGAGTGTGAGATACCGTGACCGTTTGTTTGTGCCGGAGTCTTGTCAAAAAGAAGTACTCTGAGAATTTCACAGTTCTCGCCTTGCGGTGCATCTAGGAGGCACAAAGATGTATCACGATCTTTGTCGGCAGTTTGGAGGAGAGGTATGAAGAAGGATATACCCGTGTTTGTGTAGAAGTGCCTTACTTGTCAGCAAGTGAAGGCTGAGCATCAGAGGCCAACGGGTTTATTGCAACCCTTGCCTATAGCCGAGTGGAAATGTAAGTGGAAGTAGAAGCATGTCACGATGGATTTTGTTGTGGGCCTTTCGAGAACTCAACAGGGTAGTAATGCTATTTGGGTAGTAGTGGACTGGTTAACTAAGTTTGCGCACTTCGTACCTATGTGCATGAGTGATTGGGTAGACCATCTTGCTGACCTGTATATCAGGAACATAATGAGATTACACAAAGTCCCTGTGATAATTGTTTCAGATAGAGATCCGCGCACTATAAGAAATTGGGTCTTGAATGATGAATTTTTGTTGTCTCCAAAGAGCTAATTTCGTCACTATAGATATTTGTGAGGAAATATTTTCCTCACCAGTTTTGTCATTGAATGTTTGTTACTAAAAATCGCCGTGACGAAAAATAATTTAGTCACCAATAAAATTACTTTAGCGACAAAAATTGGTCACCAATAAAATAACATTTTATCACAAAAAATCATCATTTTCGTCATCAAATAGTTGTCCAGTAATGTATATATAACTTTAGTTGACAAATAAATTTGTCACACATGTTGATCATTAATGAGGAAATAATTTCGTCACAGTAACATGTAAAGTTCACGAAATTTTTCGTCTCCAAAAGTCAAACATGGGTGACGAAATATATTTCGTTACAAAAATATATATACGTGACGAAATTTTTAGTCACCAAACAACAAAATCAATAAAAACTTTCACATATAAGCAACTATAAATTTTTTCACAAAAAATATTTATTAACGACAAATAATCACTGTCATAATAACAAGTACATATGATGAAAAAATTCGTCACTAAACTTGTTTCATATTTTATATTTCAATTTAAATTATTATTTTACAAATACCCCTGCTCATATCCCAATAACCTTTTAAATGTACTAAGAAATCCACTAACTATTATACATCACTCCACACAAAATTTGCTAAACAATTTATATTATAAATCAAAATATATCCATCAAACAAATTTAATTACAATTCATTAACTATAACAAAGAAGATCACAGCAAATCCCAAAATGAACTAAGTATCAATCCACAAAAATAAAATCAACACTTGATCTTGAGTTGCAAGTAAAACTAAGTATCAATCCATAAAAAAAAAAAATTAACACTTGATCTTGATTTGCAAGTATGCTTCCAAATGTCATCAAAAATCAATCTGCAAAAAAAAAAAAAAAAAAAAAAAAAAAAAAAAAAAAAAAAAAAAAAAAAGAGGAAAAAAAGGAAAACATTAATATATTATCAATTACATATAAACTCATATATAAATAATTTTATATATGAGTAAACCAATTTAGCAAAAATGCATTTTCTACCAAAACTTGACTTTCATATGTACTAAATCACAAAACAACAGCTAATCTAATTGGGAGCAAGTTCCTGTAAGTTACATGAACACCTATGAACCTGCCAATATTGAAAACAATCAAGCAACATGATGACTTTTATTGTCATATAGAATGATTCAATAAAACTTGGATCTTTCTTGTACTAACTCCAATTTTCTCCACAAATTTCACCATCTACTAGCGGATGTCCCTCTGATACAATTTCACTATCTCACTCACTGTTTCTCCAACTTTGCTTAGAAAGAAATGAGAAATACCGATATGGTTTGATTGTTTTTAATGGGTTTTCAATTTCACAAAATTCGAACTAAGATAGATCGGCATAAACAATATGAAACAAAGTGTTTCAGTATCTTATGATCATTTTCAATGTTTCAATGTTTGTACTAGCAATTTAACAATGTTGCAAAGTTTCTCTTGATTTTAGACCCTTCAGCAAGTGATGATCTAGCTATGGTGTTAATGCATAAGGGATTGGCACATAGGTTCCTCATTGGTAAAAGGTAGCCTAATTGAGTTCGACAATCTAACTTTCTTAAACAATTGTGCTTTAACTAATATATACTAACCAATATGAGAAAAATGAAAAGATAAAGCAAGATGGACTTACCAAAAAGGTGATCTACGAGTTCATGGGAAAAATGAAAAGATAAAGCAAGATGGACTTACCAAAAAGGTGATCTACGAGTTCATGGGATGCCCCTTCCCCTAAATTGTCCGTTGAAACCTTGTTTCTTAAGAAACTCCATGATACTTGACGTTATCTCCAAATGCTCCTCAATCAACTCATTCATCTTTGCTATCACATAATTTTGTGCTTGAATTCTTGTTTCTATACTGTAATTTCCTCTTTTTGTGACTGAATTTCCTCCTTTTGCTCTTGTATTTCCATCTCCAGACGCCTTACATAGTCAAAGTCAGTAGAAGTAGTGGTAGTCCTGACCAAGGACGAAGGCCTCAAACCAAGTCCTTTAACATATCCCGACCTTCACTTGAGCACCTTCACAGATAGCTCCTCTGGAGTAATTGGAACCACAATAGGTTCGGAGCAATGTGCATCCTGGAACTTTATCATATTGTCCTGCCATTTTGAAATAAATAGAATAATGAATAAAGATACAATAAAAACTGCAATCATCCTAACACAAAAAGTAAATATAAGTAGATAATATTGATTGGTTAGTAAGATGGTACGCAGAAAACCTATGCAACACCAGCACAAAAGTAGCAGACAGCACAATAGGAGCAGCATAGAAATTGGCAAATAAAGGAGAAGCCTCCAACCTGTTAATGCACCACATATACAAGCACATGGGGGGCTATTCCTATATATTACAAGGGTCCAAATACATTATATTTTGTACAATATTTACATAAACTTTTCATCTTCATCATCATGTTTTCTTCAGATGTGCTCTTGGAAGGTAAAAACATTAAGAACTTTCCATCAAGGTGGCAGATGATCTAATTATTTTCATAGAGATTTATCTTCTCTATTGGATCTGACCAAAAAACAGAGGAAACAAAGCTTCTCGTTTAGAATCAAATCTATCATACATTTCACAATATTTTCAACTTTCATTTTTGTTTTTTACAAGTACAACTTTCAGCTGAATCATGTTTTTCCCTTGTGAGAAAGTTGTGCAATATTAAAGCTAGAGAAGTAAAAATAGAAGAAGGATGATTAAGGTCAAATCAACTCTAAGAAAAATAACCAAGTAAATACATCCCTTCTAGACTGAACAGAGACTGAATCAAATCAAATCTGGATCAAGTTTTCAAATAAGAGAAAAATAGAATAAATACTCTAAAAAAAATTATTAAGTCAGCAATACACATGAGAGAAAAAACAATGATCACTAAAAGCAATTTTGTTCTTGAGCATCACCACCATGCAGCAAAAAACAAGAGCAACAGACATCAAGTTTTTTGGGAGAAACAACATCAGAGAATTTGGAGCTAATTTCTCGTAATGCCAATCACCAACCAAAGCTAAACCAAAACCAGATAAGATAAAACCAAAGAATTTGGTGAGTTCGTCATTTTAATCCATTATATCTGCTACCATGTCATTGAACTTGGTTTCTAAATTTGATCACTTCTCTAAGGCTTACTATAAGGCTTAGTTGAGCTAGAGCTTTTTCAGTAATTGTTCACTTTGGTTGTTATGCTTCTAGAAGGTATTTACGGATTTGGAAGCTGGAGTTTGTTTATGCTCTGATTTTTTAATAATTATCACTAAATAAGATATATCATATGATGATTCATATAAATAGTAATATAAAAAGATAATGAAAAATTAATAACATATAACATTGCTAAAAAAAAAACAACTAAAATAGTTTGATGTTTTTTCAAAAAATAGCATACTTCAATGACAAAAAATAAAAAAAATGTCATCGTGTCCAATTTTTTGCCATACATTTTACATAGTAAACATGGCCATTCTCTTGATGTTAATCACTGAATTTCTGTTGATCAACTAATGCAGAGGAAAACAAAAATTACCCAATCTCATAAATTACCTAAATTCGTACATAGCTATAAATTATAAGCACTTGATTCATGTTGTGAGTAGTGATCATGGCTGTGATCTTATGGGTACATAAATGACATCTTCCATGCAATTAATCCAATAGGTGACACCTTAGCCAGAGGAAGAAAGGATGGTCCAGATTTGAGAACTTCAGTTGAAAGCCATAGACTCCCTGGCACAGTTCTTTTACCATTTTGAATATTGATTGTCCATATGACCAAGGGACACTACCCATCTTGACTATGTCCTATCATGATGTTGCCACATGCCATCCAAAGGGAAATTCCAGCACATTAGTACCTCTCTTGCTCTCTTTCCCCGTTGCCACATGCCACCCAAAGGGAAGTTCTAGCACATTAGTATCTCTCTTGTTCTGTTTCCCCCTGTCTCTAGAAGTGCTTATAAGAGGGAAGGGGACAAACATACCAACAGCACCCAGAAAAAGAATATATACATATAAATAATAAGGCTTTGTTGGATTAGACTACAATAAATAATAAGGATTTTATGTGAGAAACTATGTAAGTGGTCTGAAATCGTAAACAAGTCAAGAAAAAGGGGAATTAGATGCCAGAGTTTAAAAATTAGACTGCAATCTTCCTTGGCCAAATGACTTGATAGTCACCAATGCCACATAGTCTTAATAATTCAATTAATAATAAGATAATTAGATTTTGTTTGTGTTAAGTATAACATTACTGTAACTTGATGTTGCCTTGACCATATGTTGTTGCATATCCAACAGCAATTTATTATGGCTTACAACAAGAGACTGTTGTATATGATGGAATAAGAAGAGACAGAAAGACATTCCCCTGCTACTTGAATCACTCCAAAAGACCAAAACAATCAAAATTGGCATCCCTTATGGAGTCCATAAGAACTACACATTCATGCGATCACGGGTTTTCAGAAAAGAAATTCAGAACCTTCATGGCTTTAATCCAAGCCAACTCACAACTGCAAAGTTCCCACAACACAACAAATTAGGCTTATGGACCATCTTTTCTTTTCTTTTTTTTTGTGAGTCTCTACATCATTAAATTCTCTACAAACCTACATACACAGAATTTTTACTAAAAAATTTCAATGTATGGTTTGGATTCATTGCTTCAACATACAAAAGTTAAATTTGAACCGTACATTACTAATTTTGGGAATAAAATTCTGAGCATAAATTCTTGGTGTTTGGCTTTTCTGTTAAATTATGTGGGTGTGGGTAATGCAGAACACAGTAGCGCATGAGGATGGATTAGCAGGAGGGTAAGCAGTGGTGCTAAGGATATCAGGGACTATGGCTGCATTTTATAACTGCAATTTTTATGGTGCTCAAGACACCCTTTATGATCACAAAGGCCTTCACTATTTCAATAATTGCTTCATCCAAGGCTCCGTTGATTTCATTTTTGGCTATGGCCAGTCCCTTTATGAGGTCAATCAGTCTTATTCCACTACTCTTTTTTCCATAGGAAACTTGATATGCCATACCCAAACTTACCTAAAATCACACATGAAATTGTATCCTAATTGATCATTAAAACAAGTTGAAAATGAAAAATCAAATATTTCTGGCAAATTTGATTTACAAATGGCGTCTACAACTTTTTTATGTTGAAAATGATACACAATAACCTCATTTGGAATGCTATTTCAAATGTATTTCTCAATAGACACAACCATGCTATCATAAATTCTTTGGTCACCCATTCAATTCACAAAAAAAATAGCAGAAAAAGTCCCCTCTACTATGGTAGTCCTCCTGACAAGTAACAAAGATAGGCACTTCTAAATTACTACTACTTAAACTGTCTAATTGCTCTCAATTACTATATTCAAACTGAAAATATATGCAAAATACAAGATGCCCATAAAGAACCAATAACATGGCAAGCACATGGAAACTAAGATGAACATAACCTTTGAATACAAAATATAGTCCGAAGAAATCACATATGGGACACTGCGTGTCTCATTAGTTTCAAAAAATTAGGGAAAATATTAATTCTAAAAATTAGGGAAAACAAAGATAGAAAAATAGAGAAATTGAGTGAGAGAGAGGACCATACCTGAAAATAGAAAAATGGAGGAATCGAATAAACAAAGTGCACCTTCTTGCTCATGCAATATGGAAAGCAATGTGTTTCTTAAGCAAACCAAGTACAAAAGCAAACCGAAAAATCATTAAACATGATAACAACTTCATCAACCATAAAAGATATGGGAACGAATATCATCACTTTCTACTTCAATAAAGTTAATTAATCCAATGAAAAGTTACTAATAACTACGCTCTAATAATTTTCTCTCATGAAATAAGCAAAGAATAAAACATGGAGTGACAAATGATTCTTCTGTTACAATATATTGGTTTTCTAATAGCTTGAGATTCTGTAAAGACCTTCAAAATAAGATGTTCGAGCTGCTTAAGCCCACTCCCATCTTCTGAGACAAACTACTACTAACTGCAGCTAATCTTCAAGCTTAAACATATTATTATGCTAACCATCAACTAATCCCTTTGTCAATTTAACCAAAAGGCCATTTCTTAAGGAGAGGATGGCCCAAAAGTCAGAGTAATGGAACACTTGCCTCGGCAAGTCTATACAATTGATATGTTAGTTAATGATTATTTTGTTATTCGTATGCAAAAATGCATATAATTTTAACTATAGGAGTGGTCAAACTTATGATTAATGGGCTAATCAATGTGTACCATATACAGCCCAATTTAGCAAACAAAGAAAAACTAAGCACCAAGCCTACACCCACATTAAAGCTATACAGCAGCACTCCACAATAAGCATGCTTCCATTCAAGATGCTATAACCCATCACAATCTTTAATAGATTTAAATCTATACACCAAGTCCATAACAGAGTAATCAACTTTGATCAACTCACTTAACTCCAATCAATTAAGCTGAGCCTTCCAAGCTTTGCAAGTATGATGGATATTGGATAGACAAACACTTGAAAAACAAATGTTCAACTACTTAATTTAGTAGCAATTGAAGAAATTCTTCAAAGACAATATAAAACACAAATAATGAAATACACAAATATGTGTACTACTTCATGAAATCAAGCACAAATAAAACTGCTTATTAAAAAAATAATGAAAACATAAAACTATTACAAAACTTTGAAAATGAAAACAATAATATGATATGCAAAATTTTAGGTTATATGCAAGTTACTCTATAAAACCCATTTGTGGGAGTAACAGTTACAATTTGCATTGTAAACTCATTTGGAGGAGTAATAATTTTAGAATTTCACAACTAATAATTTTACTTTGATTTTCATTGAGTGAGCCAAATTTATCGTAAATCTTCCAAAAAGAAATTAATCAAAAAAAATTTATAATGAAAACCAAATCATGAAACCCCTAAATCAAAGGGGCAAGAGGGAAAAAAAAAACTAGTTCCACAGATATTGGAACAAAAATTTCACAGAAATTAATTGCAATTTTTTTATAATGAAATGATGAAACCCCTAAATCAAAAACAAAAAAAAAAAACCTTAGTTCCACATATATTGGGATTAAAATTTCACAAGAATTAATCAAATTTTTTTTATAATGAAATGATGAAAACCATAAATCAAAAACACAAAATCACAAATCACCACAAATTGATAAATATATTATGTACACTACTAGTAACAGCGAATTCAATCAAGTTTAGCGAATGTAATAAAAGATAAAGAACTAGAACAAAAATGAAGGTGAAAAGAAGAAATTCAAAGAGTAAATTAAGCACACACATATATAAACCATGAAACAAAGGAGGGAGCTTTTACTAGAGGGAATCAAATTTGGAGATTAAGAGTGAATTTGGAGATCACAGAGGGTCATCGATCTAGAGCATGAGATTCAAGCCTTGAAGATTAAAAAATAAAATATAAATAAATAAAGTGAGAGGGAGAGAGAGAGAGAGAGAAGAGAATACATACCAATGTCAGGGTTTATGAGGGCAACAACTTGCTCAGCAAATTCGAGCTCTCTAGAATCCCTAGTTCCTTATATTATAGTGTGCTTTGACATTGATGCTCTGTAGATTCGAGCTCTTGCTGGTGGAGAAGTCGGAATGAGAGTGAGATGAGTAGCGCTAAGATAGAGATGAAGATGGAGAGAGAGAGAGAGAGAGAGAGAGAGAGAGATTTGAATGTGAAAATGAGAGAAGAGGGAAAAAGAAATTATAGGCGCCAAAGGGTTTGAGGAAATTTGGAAAAATTGGGAATTTTGACTGTTTCTAAGAATATATATTGATCACACTATATTGATCACACTTATGTAGAAGTTGTGATTAAAAAAATTATATATAATCACACTTATTTAGAAGGTGAGATTAAAAAATATATATATAATCACACATAATTGAAAAGACACATAAAAAATAAATATTATCACACCAATCAAATTAAGTGTGATTAAAATATCAATCTAATTTTTTTTTATTACACTTCCAATAAAAGTGAGATATCTTTATTTGTTAAAGTGTGATCTTTAATTGTTTTTGTAGTAGTGTTTGTCATGAAAAAGTTGCCCGTGATATCCATAGAGTGGTTCGGGGGATGTTTTTCATTTTCACCTCTCGAATGCCCTTTTTCAACTAAGTTTAAGGCGTTTTCTACTCTAACTCGCAACCTATGTGTGCTAATTATATGTTGTCTATTCCCACAGGTCCTATTTGTCATGAGGAAGTTGCCCATGACATCCACAGAGTGGTTCGGGGGCTATTTTGCATTTTCGCCCTTCGAATGCCTTTTTTCGACTAAGTTTAACGTGATTTTGACTCTAACTCCCAACCTAGGTGTGCTAACTACATGCCGTTTGTCCCCACAGATCCAATTTGTCACAAGGAAGCTATCCGTGCATCTATAGTGATTCGGGGGCTGTTTTCAATTTTCACCCCCTGAACGCCCTTTTTTTGACTAAGTTTGTCACGACCCAAACTCACCCCTATAAGTTTAGCGTCATGACCGATCAGTAATCTCATATTACCTATGGCCTTTATAAACAAAATCATTCTTAGTATAATTTATGGGGCTTAGCGGAAGCAAGATAAAGATAATCCATTGAGTTGTGCATATATGAAAATGTCCTCAAGACATAATTATACATCCATTCTGTACACATATACATTCATCACAATAGACCTTTAACATGACATGCACATTTCAAGTATCCATAGCTTTAAAATCTAAAACAACCCCTAGTAGCAAAAACAAAAGGATAAAACAAAAGATCATAACAAAAAGGAGTTTTGACTTTGCTTGGCTCCGCTCGAGCCCAAGCTTGCTCCTCATCAGA